AATGCAGGATATTTATGATCCAGGACAGGAGAACCAGCAGTCCACAGAGCCGGGGGTTCATGATGACCATGTAGTGCAGGGGGTGACAGATGGCCACAAACCGGTCACAGGCCATCACGGTCAGGAGGAAGATGTCCAGCACTGCAAAGAGTATGAGAAAATAAATCTGAGTGATGCAGCCTTCATAGGTGATGACTTTGTTCTGGGTCTGGATGTTCCACAGCATCTTTGGGATGGTGGTGGAGGTGAAACAGATGTCTACAAAGGACAGGTTGGAGAGGAAGAAGTACATGGGTGTGTGGAGGTGAAAGTTTGAAGTGATGGCCAAGATGATGAGCAAGTTTCCAAACACAGTGATCAGGTACATGGAGAGGAAAAGCCCAAATATTATGGGCTGCAGTTCTGTTTTCTCTGAAAATCCAAGAAGTAGAAATTCTGAAAGTCGTGTAACATTGCCTGGTTTCATGTGGTAGAGGTGACTTCTAGGAAAGAGGAAAATAACATGACTAATTTTCACAGCCATGTGCTTTACTCACATGTTTGAAATGCTATGACTTATATTTTGCAGTTGTGAAATTAAATGAAATATTTTGTGTATGAATATCATCTACTTTAGGAGATTCCCCTTTGTCATCGCTGATACAACATTTTTGTCCCAATCAACTCTTTCCCTAAGGGGTAATGTATTCTATAGTTTTCATTAGAAAAGTTTCATGCATTTCAGGAATATAAACTGAGGCAGTGTAGGCAATTAAGTTATTGCTGAAAAACAAAATAGGGCCCTACCATTCAATGGTGGAGAAAGAAAATATAAGCAAATAAGAAAATCATAACATTTTATTTAGTGACAGATAGTATGTAGAAAGGGTAAGGCAAGTATAAAGGAGAAGGTGAACAGGGCATTCTATTTTTCTTGGATATCCAGGCAAGACCTGCAAACAAGGTGACATTTGAACAGTGACAACAAGCAAGAGCAGGAGGGAGACGCAGGTTATGTGAGGAAGTGTATGCCTGCCAGAGGCAGTGCCAGTGCAAAGGCCTTGAGGAAGGTGCTTGTTTCAAATGCTCAAGTCAAAAAAAAAAGTGAAGCCAGTCACAAGGTGAATGAACATGAGAAAGAGTGATGAGAGGTAATACCACACATGCTGAGGCGGGAAGTGGCCTCTGTACTACTGCTGAAACCCAAGGCACAGGGATTTCCATGTCCTTACTAAATCTTACAGTTTATTAATATTGTTGCAAAGGTGTCCCATGAATTGAAACAGACCCCCTGCTTAGCACCTCCCTTGATTGAGTTCTGGCCTGGGGGTTGTTAGAGTCGCCTTGGAAAATACGAGACCTGTTACCCCTGTTCTGAGAACTGCTCACACCCCACAAGTAACAAATACACACAGAGCACAGTATGGCCTCCTGCACTGTGTTACTTCCATGTCCTTCTCAGCCCCAGCCTTACTGATCACACCAGGAATGCATAAACCCAAGTGGACTCAATCAATGATCTTCCCCCTGTGTAATGTAGAAAAGGTTCCCGGAAATCCCAATTCTTAAGCATCCCTTGGACAAGTAAAACTGGGGCTCTAAATGAGATGGCCTTTTTCTGGTGTGTATTAAAACAAACATTTAAAAAATCTGCTCAGTATATTGGGGTTGGGAGGAGAGGGAGAGAGAGAGAATAAGAGAGAGAGAGAGAGAGGAGGAATGATGTGGGGAATAAAGATCTAATAAGCTCAATTGGTCCCTGAGAGGCTGTAAGGAAGAGGAATCTCCCCTGATTCTGGCAGCTTTCCAACCCTGATTACGTTTGCTTTATGTCCAACAAAGATAATAAAAGAACAAAAAGAAGTTTGTCCAACAGACAAAAGTAGTGGTATTTTTACGGTGTCAAACACCTTACATAATGTACATCCAAGAGAGAATGAACAGAGGGATAAATCAACACTTTCCGAAAGAAAATATATAACGTGTAACAAAAGTTGGGCATTTCTGGTATCAAGCAATAGAAGACTTTTCCCCTGTGCCTATCCCATAGTTATTTAACCAATTAGTTTTTATATGGTCCAGTAGGGGATGAAGTTGGCCTCTTTGTCACTTTTCTGATGTGAAGTCTTTCCTTCGTTGCTCTTGGGCTCTGGGTTTTAATCTCTTTTTGGACAAACCCACACTCTAATCCTGGTTCTGGACTTCGCACAACATGCATAGCTCTCCCCAGACCATGCCCTATAAATCCTGTCTACACCATGAGAATTCTGCGTTTTTATGCTGAATCCCTTTCTTCATATGGTTATGCCTGAAAACGTCATGCCATAACACATTTATTTCATTGTACTCTGTCCTCATTATCAGGCTGCATGTTCCAGAAGGGCAGGGGCTTCACCTGCTTTGATCACTGTCGTAGTTTTCACAAACGTGTGTGAATACATGTGCACTTATACAAAAACTCATCTAAGAGTAGGAAAAGTTATAAAATTAAAGACAAGAATAATGACAACAGGTTAAAATGAGTAGCTTCAAAAACTGTAGTGAGCAAAACTGAATGAAGAATCAAACACAAACTCAAATATAATATAAAAATAACAATTTAATGATATCAACATGAATTCATATTTAGCTTAGTCAAGACCTTGACATAAGATAAGATAGCATGTAATGTACCTGGAACTTTCTGGTACATAGCAGGTGTTCTATTTTTGCTGTTGTTGTTGAATGATCAGGAATTAGGTCACAGTAGATATGAACTTTTACCAGATGGCAAAGTGTGTTTCCATTTAATTGGAAAAGTCTGGATTGTTTAAAAAACCTGGCATAAACGGTTATTTGTCTGGAAGACAAATTGGTCTCTTTGTTTACCCATCTTACAAAAAAACCGGGGTAATACAACATCAGTGTAAGAGTAACCAACAAGCAACACATTTTAGATGAATGTCTAGAACACAATGTATACAATTTACAGGTGGCAAAACAATCTCCAATAAAGCAAGAAACTCAGAGGTAGGAAGATAGATATATTTAAATAAAATTTTTTAATTTTACTGTCAGAAAATATCCTCCAAGATCAATTGGGAAGCAATGATTTGTAGAAATCTTTTGAAATGCTGAATATTGTAGAAAAATGGGCAAATAATATATGGGCATATAATAACAATAGGCAAATTAATACAGCGATCAAATATGTAAAGTTTGTGGAAACTGAGCAGTAGTTTAAGAAAACAAGAAACATCTTTCACATTCATAAGCCTGGAGGAAAAAAGACTTAAAGAGCTGTCACACTGGTTGGGGTTGGAAACTTCAAACTGATAGCAAAAGCTGTACCCTAATTTTGCTGGCAGAAACATAATATGTTACAAGACTGGAAAACAACTTGAATATATTGTTATTGCTATAAATATTACAAATAATTGTATTCTTTAACCCAGGTTTTCAGTCTCAGTACTATTGACATTCTGGGCTGGATGATTCTCTGTTGTGCGGTCTGTCCTGTGCACTGAATGATGTTTACAGCACCCTAGACCTCCACCCACCCCTCTCCAGTCTGACAGTCAAAATGTCTCTGAACATTGCTCAGTGTCTTCTAGGGGAAAAACCCCTCACCTTCCCCATTTGAACCACAGTTGGAACTTAAAATCTCAACATATTTTTCTAGCATTGTTGTAATAGCGATTTAATGATAGCGAATATGAAAGATCATCAAACGTGTGAGTAGCACAGCCACACTGTGAAATATTATGTGGCCCCTGATAGAAATACATTAATTAGTTAATCAAGCAAACTAACAAAAACAGCAATGTCTTGCCTCTGGGCTAAGTTGAATTGGTTTCCATTCTCTCACCTTCTTATGCACGGTCAGCTGGGTTGTTGGACTCACCTGGATGGGAATTCTGAGAGGGAGGTCTCCATGTGGGGGTCTGAATTCTTCCCTAAACGGTGGATGATGGATTAATACCTTCTCCCCAGACAAGACAGCAGGAAGGAGTGAAGTCCCCCAGACAGAGTTAGGACTCCAAAGAAAGAAAGAGAAAAGAAGACCCTTCCAGCCCAATATTACTCACACCGAGAGACTGCAGATGTGGAGATGTTTATAGCTCCCTCTATCTGCTCATTAGCACATTTCTCTCTTGTTATTTCAACTTCTAAGCACACAATCCCCCTGTGGAAAATTGTTTTGGAAGGAAGGAAATTTTTCCTAATGATTCTCTATTCACAAGGGGCAAGGGTAGAAGTCAAGTGAATCTAGTTCTCTTTTGTTTTTTTCATTCCTTCCTGGCCAAATTGCCTCCCTCCTAGATCTTTAAATCACCTAGCACTTATCTCAGCTCTGAGTTAGTCCAAGTCTAAGACTGAGGAAAACTCTGGATTAGGTCTCTTGTATCATCAAAGCATTGACTTGTAGTGGGGACACAGCCCTTGAATCTCCAGAAAATTTCTGTTCAACAAGGGGGATAACTGAGTTCTTTCAGCAATAAACCCTGGGCATTACATGCATTATTTTCATGAGGATTTTGCCAAAACATTTAAGAACTTAATACCAATAAGTACATACAGTATTGCTGTCTATTTCTCCCTTTTGCTCTGGGAATAGCTGGCTTATATATTCAGTTGCTTTTATGCTGGATGCATATATATTTTTAAATCCTGTTTTTGGATTGACCCTTTTTACCATTATGTAAAGCCATTCTTTGTCTTTTATTACAGTCTTTGTCTTCAAGGCTACTTATTGTGATGTGATATACCTACTCCAGCTTTCTTGTTGTTTCCATTTGCATGGAAAAAATTCTTCCATTCATTTACTTTCAGTCTGTGTGTCCTCATATCAAAAGTGAGTCTCTTGGAGGAAGTACATAGATGGGACTTTTTATAAAAAGTCCGTTTAGCCAATCTGTTTCTTTTGCTGGGAGAATTTAGTCCATTTACGTATAAAGTAATGATTGTTAGGTATGTGCTTATTGCCATTTTGTTACTTGTTTCATTGTAGTTCCTCTCTGCTCCTTTCTTCTTCTTTTGCTTTCTTCTATTGTGGTTTGATGACTTTCTTTATTGTTATGCTTAGAATCCTTGTTCATTATCTTTTCTATATCTACTATAGGTTTTTGCTTGGGGCTACCATGAAGCTTACATATAACACTCTATAATTGTAATAGTCTATTTTATGTTGTTAACAACTGAAGTTTGAACACATTCTAAAACTCCACATTTTTACTCTTCTCACACATTTATTTTGTTTATCCTTTAATTATTATAGTTAGTTATTTTTACTACTTTAGCTTTTACCATTTGTACTGGCTTATATGTAGTTTATCCACCACCTTATTATATATTTACCTTTACCAGTGAGACTTACACTTTCACGTGTCATATGCCTTCTGGGCTGGGGTGGGGCAAGAGCATATGGTGGTGGGGCAAACCCACCTGCAGCAGGGCTGTGGATGGGCACACGAGTAGGGCAAGCCCACTGACTTCAGAGGGGCTGCA